CCCAATAACTCAATGAAAACACATTCAAATATTAAGCTTACTAAGCTATTAAGGACATCTGGTTAAATACATTTATTTGTAGGTACTTTGAGCATGAGTTTACTTAAGATAATTTTAAAATTATACCTATTAAAGTTTAAATAATGTTTTTTTTTGTGTAATATAATAAAAATTAGATTATAATTATTTTTAGAGTACGTACAAAGCAAATGCTCTTAGGTTTTACTTATTTCTTCTTTAAACAACATATATATACGATTTAATTAAGCACTTCTAGGTGATTATCAGTTTAAAATACTAGAGTAACTTATTTCTAATGCCTGAATATATATATTTTTTAAAATTCCGCAATTATATTGATTACTCGATTAGTATTTCGGCTGAAAAAGTTCATGCTCAGTTCACCAAAGTCATGTTTTGCTATATTTATATTTTTATATAATATATAAAATGTTTATATATATATATATATATATATATATATATATATATATATATATATATATATATAAATATAAATAGATATTTTTGCAAACTTAGCTGAACTTTGTTTGCTATTATATCTTTCTTATACAGCCCTTGTGCACGCAGCTTTGTATCTGTAGCACTTATTGCCAAGACACTGTGTTCCCCACCCACTCTTTGTGCCCCACACACGAACGACTTGTTTACCACATCAAATCTAATAAAAATCACCACGCACAATTTGTAGCCATCAATTGGGCGTCAATGACAGGCACAGACAGTGACAGAAAGAGAGACGAATTTGTGGGCTCACGCAGACCGAGAGCTGGAAACTGGGAACTGTGAAGTAAGAATTGAGAACTGAGAGCTGAGTGCTGAGAACTGGTGCAGGGCTTGCAGGGTACGCAGCAAATGACAAATCTTTGGCAGTGGCATAATATAATAACGGCAAGAAAGTAGCTTTGTAATGGGTCTACATATTTTTCATCGCAACGAATTTGACTGACATTCAAGTCCCTGCTCCCATTCGACTCCACACGCCTCTTCTTCCTTTCAAAAATGTGATGTTTGCTTCTTATTTATATTTTTTTCTACTGTGGCTCGCAAGTGATGAAATAAATCATTTTGGGAATGGCAGCATGAGATATAGACACGTGATGATGAGATGGAGATGGAGCTGCACACAGATACAGATACAATATCATGTTTTTGTTGTTGTTGCTTTTGCTGGTGGTGCTGCTGGCGGTGGTGCTGCTGTTGTAGCAAGTGCAAGTGTCAATTACAAACCATGTCAAAAATGTCAAACTCTGTGAGTGACTGGCTAGGAGCGCAGGGCACAAAAACACAGTTTAAATGCTTCGAGCAAATGTAAATACCCTGGAAATATATTTTATTTATAATATTTTCTTATTTTCTTTTATTACGTTTTCGTTTTCCTCTATTATTAAATTTCCCATTAAAAACTAATTTTAATTATTTTATTTTATTTAAAACTGTTTTCACTGTTTTGTCTTCGGAGATTTTTGAAAGGAACAAGTTGGAATTGGAGATTTCTTTTAAAGTAAATATTTTAATATATATATATTAACTTCAGAGCTTTTTTTTTGTATTCTTTAATATATACATTAAAATTGTTCTCTACCAGCTCAGATATCCTTTTCACTTTAGTGCAGGGTATGCCAAATATACAGCTCGTCCAGTCTAGGCCCGTATTGGCTGCGGGTTAGCACCCCTGCCTGACAGCACTGGCTGTCAGGAGGGTCGTCATTCTCATACCCAGTCACATTCTCATCGACATCGACAAGTTTGTCCTGTCAGCGCCGCAGTCGCGTAGAGTTTATTACATCAATTTGTGTGTGCGAGACCTGCCCTCGGTCGCCCCCGCGTTCGCTCCTCCTCTTCCTCTATCCATTTCAGCCGTGTATGTGAAATTTGATACAAATGAGTTTTCACACTTTGCGTACGGACACATACACAAGTCTCTATATCTGCATGTGTATCTGTTTCTGTATCTACATGCTTGTATCTACAAAGCAAATGCGCATCTATAGAGCGTATCTTGCGCGCGTTCCCAGTATCCTTTTCCATCAACGTGTAAATTGTGCGCTGTCAAACTTATGACATTCCGCGTTGATGTGCCCGACTCACATTTGCTTACCAGTTACAGAGCAAAAATATATATATATTGCTGTATATACTGTGTATATGTATTTGTGATAAATCCCCAACAATAGAATCTCCCACAAGGGCTCGGGCGCTCTCGTTATTGTAAATTAGATTTCGTTTAGGAGTGCTTCTTCTTGTACATTTTACTCTTCCCTTTTTTCCCGGAGTGGTCGATGGGGATAGATGTGCGATGTTATATGAAATAAGTCGGAATGGTCTAGGGTAATATTCCCGCATATTAATTGCTGCTCATTTTTATGTCTGTGGCGCACTCATATGCAATTAATATTTGTCGTCCCGTTGCGACAGACCGATCCAAAATAGGGTTCTGCCTTTTAAATTACTTCTCACAAGGGGCCATTATTGGCGCCTTTGCGTTGCTGGGGAGGCAGAGCACCCAGCATCCCATTGGCCTATTAATTTATAGTTTGTATATGCTGAAACAGCTGAACAACAGCCTTAAGATCAATATGTGCAGAAAACAAGTGCATTTTTTTTTGATTTTCTGTTGGAGAGCTTTCTACGTAAGTTGTTTCTTACTCAGAATATCCATTCATTTACTTTTAACAAGTTAGAGGTTCTAGTCGGGAGCTCCCGACTAGGGAATACCCTAAACCCTCTTATTACAATGCCAAATGCAGTTCGCGCAACGCGCTCGTCGGAAATAATAAAGATAAATTTAAAAAAAAAGGGTTCCAACTCGAAACTGACCGTATTACTAAAAACGAATTAAAATAGCAGCACAGAAAAAAGTCGCAATTACAATGCTGTTAGAATGCGATAGAATGCGAAGCAGACGAGCATGAATATGTGTGTGTCATGCATACAGGCACTAGGAGGACCTACATCCAAAATTTCAGGTCTCTACCCATTATAGGTTCTGAGATCCTTGCGTTCATAGATATGGACGGACGGACAGACAGACGGACATGGCTAGATCGACTCGGCTATTGATGCTAATCGAGAATATATATACTTTATGGGGTCGGAGATGCTTCCTTCTGCCTGTTACATACATTTGCATTTTGCACAAATACCCATTTTTAATGGGTTCAGGGTATAAAAATAGGATTACGATGATCGGTTATGCGTTAAGAATTTTAAGTCTCTGGTTCTTATATGTTCTGAAATCGTCTCGTTCATAAAGATGGACGGATAGAAGGACAGACGGAAAGAGCTAGATCAACCTGGCTATTGATGCTGATCAAGAATATATATACTTTATGGGGCCGGAGATGCTTCCTTCTGCCTGTTATATACATTTGGATTTTGCACAAATACAATATATCCTTCTACCCATTTTTAATGGGTTCAGGGTATAAAAATACCGAGTACACGGTATTTTGTAAACGTGAAGTTTATTTTCCTGAATTTTCATGCTGATTCGCACTCCACTTTAAAATAAATGTTAAGAACCCTTATATTGAGTCAACAGCATTCAAGAGGCGGCGGATACGAGCCAATGAACAGCTGCCAGCAGTCGCTTAGCTCAAATATTGTTTCCAGCCATGACAACGATAACCAAAACAACAACAACAACAGCCACAACAACTAAAACAATTGCAACAGCTATGCAACATTGTTGGGCAATGGCTTAGCACATTGACGCGCTGCGTTGGCTTTATATATTGGTCAGTTAAGACGTGTCACTGGGCACGCCCCCTGTCTGACTGTAGTAGTGACTGGGCCAGCACACACATACGAAAAATTTCACGCATCAGTCGTCAGAGGCAGTGGCAGCGGCAACATGGCCGTAGGAGAAGGCTCAAAACTCGCGCAATTAGAACGCCATTAAAAGGGGCATAACAACAATGTTGTTGCTGCTTTCGTTGTTTTAGCTGCGAATACTCGTACCTGTAGCAAAGTTGGCAACGCCCCCATTATTCATGCTTTCAGTTCGCCAACTGTCCGGCTGTCTGCTGTTGGGCTCGCCAGGTGGGGTGAGGGTGAGGCAGGAGTCTGCTAAATGGAGATCGATGGGTGAGCGTGGTCTCATTAATCAAATGACAAGTAAGCGCGTTGGCCGACTCACTAACTGCACTGCATGAGTGCACGAATGAGTGCACGAATGAATGACGCGACGTCTCCAAACCGCCCACCGCCCCTCTCCCCCTCTGTCTGTTTACCTCTTCACGTTCTCTCTACACCTTAAATTAAAGGTGTGCGCAAGCGCTTTCCAATTGCAACGAAGCAGCAAAGCGGAAATGTAATGGCTGCTGCAACACTTCGATCAATAATCAGCTTTACACATATAAAGACATACACACACGGCCACACACATATTCTCAAATGCCTTAAGTGAATTTCACTTGCCGAATAAATGACCAAAAGCCAAAAATTGTATTTACTGCTTTTTATCGCTGTCTCCGGCGCTGTGCTAATTAAGGCTGTCTTCCAGCAGAGTAGCTGTTACCAACTCTGTTAAGCAACACTATTATTTATTTGGGCGGCATTTATGTGGAATTTTATGCGGCTGCAGAACACCGTAGGCAGCCATTATGGAGTTCAGTATCTTTCTTGTTTTACGAAGAGCTTATAAAAATATCATTGTTGGCAAGTGTAGTGCAGTTTTTTAAACTAAGCTCTTAAGGGAAAACCAATGTTGGGAAACGTTTGTTTCTTCTATGAGAGGAAAAACATTTTGTGGAAAGTAGTTTTTTTTTTCAAAGAGCCTTTCATAAATATCAGTGTTTTCAGTTTGGTGTTGTTATAAACCAATCTTGTTAGATTTAACCAGTGTTGCATAACGCAGCTGAATTGCCTGAGCTGACTTAAGGTAAGAGAGCGCTCTAAAAGAAATTTCTCAAAAGAAAGTAAATAGTAAGCTTTACAAAATAAAAAAAATATATTCAAATAAAAACCTAGTAAACTAACCGGTCAGCTGTCAATGTCAATTTTCAAGTCCATACAATTAGTTTTTTTCCAACGCACATGAGTATTTACACATTTGCTAGTCAACCGCGTAAATAAATTTAATCACACTTATCTTGAAATCCGCACCTTGTGAAGAAGAACATGTCGCACAAGTGAGTGAATGTGTAAATGAGTAAATAAGTTTAAAAAAATATATATCGAATGTGTATATACGATCTGCCATATACACGTAGATGCAACAGCAGTCACTCTATCATGTCGGATGGCACTTGGATAGGTTGGTTCGTTAACCTGCAGGTTAATGCTTTTCTGTGTCGCGTGCCCTTTGAATTCGTCCAGGACAGATTCAACCTAACCGGTCTGGAAGTGTTAGTGCCGAGCTTTCACCAGACACTGGATGCCATACTCGACACAGAATTTGATACGGACTATGGATTCAATCCAATGGACACAGATCCCGAGCTGACGGCACAGCTGTATGGATTGATCCATGCACGCTACATCATAACCACGCGGGGCATCGATGACATGTGCCAGAAGTATCAGCGGGGTGAGTTTGGCATCTGTCCACGCATCTTTTGCAACGGTCAGCTGGTGCTGCCCGTGGGCCTATCGGATCGCTTCGGCGAGTCCCATGTCAAGGTTTATTGTCCGCGCTGTAGGGATGTCTATCAGCCACATGCGCGTTGCGCTCTGCTCGATGGGGCAATGTTTGGCAGCAGCTTTCCCCACATGTTCTTTATGCAGTTGCCCCAACTGTTGCCGGAACCGCCGGTCGAGAAGTATACGCCACGGTCAGTCCTAACTTCTGCCCAAACGCTACAATCCTAAGCACATTCTTTTGCAGCATCTATGGCTTCCAACTGCACAAGTCGGCGCTTAGTGCACCCAAATCACAATCCTCCGGCAGCAATAGCCCTAACAACAAGAACTCACCTGGCCAGCCAAAGGTTTGCCCCTGCGCCAACGTAAGCCTGGAAGTCTCGCCAACCAGCCGACCGCCCATGCGACGTTTTAATTTTACACTTAATTAGACTTATTTATGTATCCAAATTTTAACTAGTTTGTCAGATTTTTGAACCATAGACACAGACATAAACGCTCGCTTATTCATGGTAATTCAAATGAATGCATTGGTATGCGATAGTAGTCTTTTAAATGTAGCTTAAATAAAATTGGAAATCGTTGTGATGTAAGCAAGCTTCTTTTTACATAATAAGTATATTTTGAATTTCAACTCAGGAAAAACTTACATATGTATATATATATACCATCCATAACTTCCAAAGATAAAATTATTTTTTGGCACTGAAATTAATGACTTATTTGGTAATCATTTTTAGTAGCGCACAGATTTATCTTATTCACATTCTAATATGCGCAATCTACCGAGCTTAACTCATTGAGACGGTTTGAAGAGAATCGCTTCAAGCTCTGTATTACAATTTATTTTTCCCTATTAAACGAACTTTTAACATTAAACAAAAAGCAGCTAAGCCGAAAAACTGAACCGAACCACAAAATGAGTTCGAGGCTCACATTTAAAGCATAACTAGCTTTGAGCCCTAGCATTGATTACATTTTAGATTACAATTTTGGGTAGATTCTGGAATATTTTTAGTAGAATGGGCTGATATAAAGCAAAAACTGGATTGTTTCATTAATATTGGATAGTATTATAGCCAAGGTTTGAGCCAACATTATTGATGTGGAAAATCAAGTTCACGAAATCCAGTTCACGGCAGGCAATCAGTTCGAGATGAAAACCAAACCAACGACCATTTGATCTGAAAAGCTCAATTTGAAATAATTAAAATTGGCAATATGCGCCAATGATAACGCCCCATGAGAAGCTCTTTCCAATTTAACCTCGTTCCCAGGGAGTTGCCGAACAAAAAGTTGTAAATTTGTTAAGATTTTCCTCCACAGCTTTTCACAGCAGCATTTTCTGCAGTTGTGTTGCATTGATCTGTAATTGACTGCAGGGCATATCTAAGCACTAAATCATCGCCGTTGTCTCGATTAATGACAGCTCATGAACTAAGCCACAACTAAATTGTGGTTAACTCTGGCTGTGCCATCTCCTGTGACTGTGGCACCTAACTGGCACTAAACTGGGTCCTCAATTGTGCCATGGCTGGCAACAACATGCCCAGTTACCCACTAACACACCAGCTGACAATTAAGATGCACATACATAGATAAAGTGGCGAGGCAAACCAACCTGGCACAAAATCCAACTGTGTGTTGCCTCTGTTGCACCTTTGTCCCAGCGCATACGCAATTTGGGAAAACTGACAGCCAACTGAGGCGGATGTTGCAAACGGTGCCGAGAAAGTAACGGCAACAGCAACGGGGCGACATGCAACCAGCTCTAACAACAATTCGTGTTGCAGTTGAAAAATGCGCAGGCGCACCTTTCGCCAGGTACAGGGACAGCAACTTCAACTGCAACTGCAACAGCAACAGCTACAGTAACTTCAGCGGCTCGAGTGTCCGACAGACAGACAGACGGACGGACAATTGTCGCCCCGTAAATCGTGTAATTCCCTGCCTGCAAAACTCTCCCAATTGGCGCTGTGAAATCTTTAAACTGAATGCTGGGCCTGGTGGGCGTTCAAGTTGTTAAAAGAAAAACTGCTAGTTTTTGTATTTTGTTTTAATTGATTTGTTGTTGTTCTGTGCCTGTAATTGCCGCCTCAGCACATCGCGCTTGGCGCATTACTCATACGCCGCGTGCAACATTTGGAATTTCGTGTGCAATTTTCCGCTTGCCACTTAAACGATTGCGCTCTCTGCACAAATTTTATATTATTGCCAAATCATTAACTCGACCACTCGAGCATATGGCCGGGCCAGCTAACCATTTTTTCTTCCCCCCTTTTTTGGTTTTTTTTCTTTTATTTTCGATAATTTATTGGCGCTCGACTACAACGACATCAATCACTTTTTCGGTACGCTTTTCAATGCAACTTTGCGCTGAATGAAAACAAATGTTCAATTGCCGCAAAGTATGTAAAGTTCGCTCCTTACTGCATTTGCCAGCGGGCATGAACCTTCATCCGTCAAGTTTGTAACGCAAATAGCGTTCAATAAAATAAATTCAATGCATTATTTCCTTTTTTATACAATTCATGACAATTATCGATCTTGAATATCTTTTATATCCTTGTGCCAAATATTTTCTTTAAGCTTACAATTTTTCACAAAATTTGCTAGAATTTTGAATGTGACTGTAGTTTTTTTCAGGAGAATTTCAATTGAGAGCTAATCGAAGAAAATGGATCTTGGATCATTAAATCTACAATTTAAAATCTTTGTTATTACATTGTATTATAATAAGGCTTTCAGCTTTTAATTTTTCTATTCATATGTATTTTTATTTATTCTGACTCTCGATTTTTCTTTCGACCATTAATAAAAAGTATACATATTTACTTTTGTTTTATATTATATTATAATATTATATTAATATATATTAGATAATTATGTTAATGAATAAAAATAAAACTTTTGTAATATATTTTGAACAGATTTATTTTCAATTTAGATCTAAAATATTTCAATAATACTTTTCTATAAAATACTTATTATTAACTAAATTTAATATTTTCAATCGATTGTCGGTATTTTTTGAAGCTTGATAAATATGTATAATATTTCAAAATGGTTTTTCCCTATGATTTGTATTTCTCTAATTTCCTCGAACTCTCAATGCTGCGTTTCATTTAGGGTGTTTAGACATTCGTGTTCCTCACCACCGTCCCATATTAACTCCTTTGTCTTGTTTCTGTTGTCATTGGATATTGTGCTAATGGTTTTTTTTTTTTTGGCTGGATTTCGACATTGTTTGGTGGGCCAAGTGGAGCCATGTGGACCCAGTGGCCGGTTTTATTGATGATTGCTTCGTCGCTGACAGCACAAAGGAAACTCGAAGCTGTTGTGATTTGACTTACTGCTCGAGTTGAGTAGCAGCCAAGCAAAAGCAAAGAAATTTGCATACAGTTGAGGTTGAGCTCTTTGCTGACCAAAAATGGCAGCCGCCATGCAAATGAGCTACTCCCTGCATAGCTGCAGCCTCTTCAGAGCACCAAGGGCTCATAATAAAGTGATATGCGTGAATTGAAACAATGGGAATATAAAATTAGCATAATAAAAGCCAATGCTAAAGGATTCACAAAATACTCGATACTCTGTGCACTCTCAGTACTCGGTTCCAAATCCGAAGCAACAATGAGCGATGCCCGTAAACTTATTTCGAATCCAAATGTCAGCGCAGCAATTGACCGGTTGGTAGCCAAAGAGAAAGGCTAAAGGAGTTTGGGAGGGGGATATGGAAAGCGAGAGGGAAGCGGCTGCAGAAAGTGGTCAAAGTGCGACACGCATTTCAGTCACGCGCTCAGAATGAGTAGCCATATCTTCAACAGCAACTGCATCTGATCTGCATCTGTATCTGTATCTTAAATTGAAGTTGCAAGCTGGAATGTTGCGTGCGCTGCAGCGGCAGTGGGTCAGTCACTGGGCTCGGGGCCCTGGCAACGCGTCAGACATGACACAGTTATGCGATTTATGTAACTCGAGAATTATGTGTCAAAGCCGGCAACAGTGACAATGACGCAGTTTGTTGCCGTTGCCAAAGCTGTTGACAAGAAAAAAATTCAAATTCAAAAAACCGCTCGACCTCAGCGCCAAGTGGCTAAACGCGAATTTTTGTGCATGTGGCTGCCACGAAATGCAAATGCGCTTTTATGTTCGGCTAGAGCTGTGTCTAAGCTATGATTCTAAATAATTAATTAATTATTAAAAATTAAATTAATTTATAATTATTTGTTGTGTTCGATTCTAGTAGGGAATGTTCCACTGAAAGCTTGTGTTAAGGACTCGAAATGGTTATTTCCTGAAAACTCATTTATGTATCGCATGCATGAAATATTGGAAGTGACACTCCTCATCACAGCATACAAGACACGTTAAAACTTCAGTTTTGCGAAATATTTCAGTTTCCGAACGTCCTGTTTACAATATACTTATATAATAAATGCATACGGCTAGTAAAAGTACTTGATGATTATTAAGTTTAGCTTTATTTTAATTTTACTGTTATTATCTGGAACAACTTAAATTAAATTTGTATGAATATTTACAATCTACTTATTCTACTGGTAAGTCTTATATACAAATTTACAGTGTCAACTATATAAATCGATCTGGGAGATCTATTGGGTGAGACCTTCGTAGTCTCCTCCGCGTTCGGAGTCCTCCAATTCTGCGCCTATTCAGAAGACGCCTAGCCAGTCGATTAGGATGACTTCTCAGTCGCGCTATATAATTTGCGGCCTGTATATTTATTATGTCCCCGACTTTGGGCACTCCTAAGACTTTTTCCAAGTCGGAGGTTCTCATATACCAGGGGGCACCAGACAGATATCGGAGCGTTTTTGCTTGGAGCACCCTGATTTTTGAAAGACTGGACTTTGCAGCAATGCCATATACCTGGATACCATAACGCCAGGCGGGAGCTATGCAGGATTTATAAATGGTGACTTTATTTTTCAAAGTACGAAAAAACATTTAAAACTGAAGCTGAAAATGTATTAATGTATTCCAGCAATTACATTTTCGAAATCGATTTGTCAAGTGCACAAACAATCGGTGATTAGATCTAGATAATTTAGACTTGGCGTATTCTTAACCAAATTTCGTAGTTAAGGTTTCATTATAATCCAAATATATATTATAATCCAAATATATCTGTGATTAAGATAAATTATGTAAGCTTATGCATATTCCGGTTAGCTGCTCTATAGAGCATTTAAAGAAAAAGAAAATAACATAAAATTATGCGTAACAACGCGCTGGCCATCAATGGAGCAGTGCAGTTGACATTTTGGACTGTGTTCGTGTTGGCCAGGAGAGGCGTGTGCACAAGATCAGAGCCAGGCCCTGACGGCTGGCGGCTGGCAGTTGGCCTACAATAAAGTCGCGCCAAAATATGGCCAAGTGAAACGACAATGAGCAGTCAGTCGGTAACTGGGCAGCGACCAGACGTAAAATGCCTATCACAAGACTCTCCCAGCCACACACACACACACGCACACATACACACTCACGCACACATAGCTGATATGCAAATTGCTGCGAGTGACAACCAGGCCAGAGACGTAGACAAAAACTCAACCGGCGA